AACTTTTATAATTATCGTAATTTGTTTATATTTTGAAAATTAATGTTTTATTAAAAAGCCTGTTTTACAAGCTAATCCCGGAACTAACTCTACTTTTAAATAAACATTACTTTTAATTTAATAATGCATTTCAAACTTTATTTTCCAATTTATTTTGAAAAATATTTTTGTATAATTTTTGATAATACATATATTTTCTTTGTCAGATATTTTAATAAAAATGGCAGGAAAAACATCCCAAAGGGCCTAGCATACCGTGAAATTATGATATGCTGTTGAGTTGATCAGGGGTGATGTATCTTACAATCTTGGAGCCAGCCTTGCAAATGCATTGCTCTTGGATTTGAGGGCTATGGGCTTTCTTATCCCCAATATTAATATAAAAAGATATTTACAGTGTATCACAAAAGTGTGTACACCCCTCACATTTCTTCAAATATTTAAGTATATCTCTTCATGGGACAACACTAACAAAATGACACTTTGACACAATGAAAAGTAGCCTGTCTGCAGCATATATAACAGAGTTAATGTATTTTTCCCTCAAAATATAGCCATTAAAAGCTAAATCCCTGGCAACAAAAGTGAGTACACCCCTTAGGAAAAGTTGTCAATATTAACATACAACATGTCAACTGTCAATATTTTGTGTGGCCACCATCATTATCCAAAACTGCCTTTACTCTCCTGGGCATGGAGTTTTTCCAGGTCTTCACAGGTAGTCACTTGAATGCTCTTCCACTCCTCAATGACGACGTCGTGGAGCTGGCGGATATTTGAGACTCTGCGCACCTCCACCTTCTGCTTGAAGATGGCCCAAAGATGATCTATTGGGTTCAAGTCTGGAGACATGCTTGGCCAGTCTATCACCTTTACCCTCAGCCTCTTCAGTAAAGCAGTAGTTGTATTAGATGTGTGTTTGGAGTCATTGTCATGCTGGAACACTGCTCTGCGACCCAGTTTCTGGAGGGAGGGGATCATGCTCTGCCGCAGTATTTCACAGTACATGTTGGAGTTCATGTTTCCCTCAATGAAATGTAACTCTCCAATACCTGCAGCACTCATGCAGCCCCAGACCATGACATTCCCACCACCATGCTTGACTGTAGGCATGACACACTTATCTTTGTACTCCTCACCTGGTGGCCGCCACACATGTTTAAGGTCATCAGAACCAAACAAATTAAATTTTGTCTCATCAGACCATAGGACATGGTTCCAGTAATCTATGGGCTTTGTTGACATGTCTTCAGCAAACTATTTGCGGGCTTTCTTGTGTATTACCTTAAGAAGAGGCTTCCTCCTGGGGTGGCAGCCATGCACACCAATTTGATGTAGTGTGCGGCATATGGTCTGAACACTAACAGGCTGAATCCCAATCTCTTTAATCTCTGCAGAAATGCTAACAGCACTCCCATCGCCGATCTTTCAAAGAAAGCATTTGGATGTGACGCTCAGCGTGCACTCAGCTTCTTTGGACGACCTACCTGAGGCCTGTTCCGAGTGGACCCTGCTCTTTTAAAATGCTGGATGATCTTAGCCACTGTGCTGCAGCTCAGTTTCAGGGTGTTGGCAATCTTCTTGTAGACTTGGCCATCTTTATGTAGTGCAACAATATGTTTTTTAAGATCCTCAGAGAGTTCTTTGCCATGTGGTGCCATATTGGAACTTTCAGTGACCGGTAAGAGAGAGTGTTAGAGCTGCACTACAAATTTGAATACACCTGCTCTCCATGAACACATGGGCATAGTTACACTAATCAGTCACATGACATTTTGGAGGGAAAATGAAAAGCAGTATTCAATTTAGACATTATGGGGTGTAGTTTCTTAGGGGTGTACTCAGTTTCTTAGGGGTGTACTCACTTTTGTTGCCAGGGATTTAACTTTTAATGGCTATATTTTGAGTTATTTTGAGAGGAAAAGAAATTAATTCTGTTATATATGCTGCAGACAGACTACTTTTCATTGTGTCAAAAGGTAATTTTTTTCAGTGCTGTCCCATGAAGAGATATACTTAAATATTTGAAGAAATGTGAGGGGTGTACTCACTTTTGTGATACACTGTATATAGATAAATGTAAAATTGATAGAGCAAAGGTTAAAGTAAAACAAATGCCCATCAACAGCATGATGAAAAGGTGGAAAATTTTTATATTGGAGTTGATGGGAGAACTGACAAAGACACACTAATGTACAAGGAAATAGTGGAGGAAAATAGAGAGAAGACTGAAAAAAAGACCAAGAGACCAGAATGCCACTTGACTGGCACAAAGATGACATATGAAAGTGAATATCTGACACCTAAGGCTCTTCCTAATATTGGTGCAATTGTTGTAGTTCTTGCCGAGCAAGTTGCTGATGTTTTGCATGAATTCAACAGTGTGAGCACTATCCAGGCTATCCTTCTTGACAAACACTAATGCCAATTCAGGCTGTGAAGGTGGATTTGCTGTACCTCTAGAAAGAAAACTTGACAGAAATCTACATACTATTGGTTG